GTAAAGGGCATGACCATCTTGGGCGCGTCATCCGTGAAGTTGCCTGTCTCCGAAGCCGACTGTTGAATAGGGATAAGCTTGACATGAGCATGATCAATCTCGAAGCCTTCAAAGATCATGCCACATCTCTCTACCTTGAATGCTTGCTTGAGAATAGCAGCAACCTTGTGGGCAGCTACCATCAATGCCGATAACGGTTTTTTGTCGATGGCGAAGATGTCGCTGACCAAGCGTTTCCGCGGCACTAAGACAGTGAAGCCTGGAGTATTTGGAAAGGGAGTGAGGGATGCTACATGATCATCATCTTCCCACACTCGGTATTGCAGGAGCTCGCCCCAAATGATTCGAGCAAAGAGGTTCTTGTCCTCGTGTGAACCTTGGAACTGATTGTTGTATTGGTGTGTCATGTTGGGTGTCTGGGGTGCTGGTTACGGGTACGGGTACGGGTACGATGGGCAAAAAGACGAGCTTGCTGGACCGAGAGTTGGAGTGTGTGGTTGTGGTTGTGGAGATGATACATGCTGTGTACAATGTACATGCTGTGTACATGCGTGTGTACGTACCATTTACCGGTAGGCACCCTGTGCGATTACGGAAAGCGAGCGAAGATACCGTACCCGTACCCGTATCCTGCATCCCCGGGGTAAGTATGACGAATACGAGGCAAAAGTAACTACCATATCTTACACTTGCAGAGTTAAGTTGAGCTGCATCCGTTGACATCCGTAATTCAACTACTTTGGGAAATATTTGGGTGCGTGCGGATGGTGGTGGATGGGGTGGGATTACGTGTTTTTCTATTTGAGTGTCGCGGGTTTGGGGATTGGTTAGTAATTACCGGTACCGGTATCGCTACGGTACCTAGGTAGCAGCGGAAGGTGAGGAAGGTTTGGGTGCGCACTACCCAACACACCCAAGCGCGTGAGTAGTAATCGCACTGTGTACAATTGGCAAAAGCATCTAGTTTCGCACCGTCATGCACGCTCTTCTATGGCCTCAAGTACATATGCGGTACAGTTGCTCAAATGGGATTTGACAGAACCTTGTGCTTGGTAGGTAAGACGTCTGGACTCTGAACTACCATACCCATCTAGATCTGGATCTGTCTCCAGTGTTTGCCTAGGGTAAGCTAGGGTTTGGTATTCACAGAGGCAACGCCATTGCCCCTTTCGTTATCAAAATAGTTGACAGCAATTAGCGACGTAGCAACGTGAATGGCACGATGGTCGTAAGCTTAGTAATCTGCAAGCTGCGGAGTAAGATCAAGGTAGCGACGAAGGAGAATATAGGAACAACATATTCAAACGTTTATACTAGGAAGAGGGAAGGCAATCTAGCACGACGGTCCATGGCATTGTCTCCCAGGCCTGTGAAGTTCTAGAGATAGGTACCGGTACCGGTACCGAAAAGGCAAGCAAAGTCATGAACAAGCCAACGACAAGGTACACAGATATCAACATGGGTACTGCAGGTATAGTAATTTACGCCACGCGACCACAGCAACAGGGCAAAACGGTAGCCGACTGACTCGCCTTCAGAAACCTGGTACGTGCTAGGTAGATGGCAGATTTACCCGTTACCATACTCCCTGGTCCTTGTGTGGGATATATCATATAGCTGTTCTCATTTGATGTTTATAGTAGCATGTTGTTTTGCACTTGGATCCTACTGTATGCGCACTATATCCTGCAGAGAATGCTACTGTATTTCAGTAGACCTTCATAGCAGTAATAGTAGAGTTGTTAAGCGAAGTTACCGTAGCGGACGCAGCGTAGGGTAATCGCCTGCCCAAGCATACCGGTACATGTATCCAAACCAATCCAACTAGATCCATTCCCAACCGTGCCATTCATCAACTATCTAACAGTACACACAGCAACCAGAATCCAACAACATCACCAACAACATCAAAAAAACCACAATATATCTGCAGCTACTAACCCCCCCGTACGTTTGTGGGGCAAACATGCCTCATCCATGTCAACAACTGCATGCTATACCTTCCATGCATCTTCCTTTCCCAGCCCTCGCCGTCCTAAACAAGGGCGAGCTTGGGGCTAGAGTACCGATACCGGTATGGTACCCCTACGGCGGATGTTTCAAGTTTCAAAACAGGCTTTGCATGAACTTGCAATCCCCCGTGTTTCAGGCACCCTAGCACACACACAAATATACAAATAGACAAATAGACAAATAGACAAATAGACAAATAGACAAATAGACAAATATACAAATGTACAAATATCACTACAGTACAAAACTGGTTTACAGTAGCCATATTTAACTAAAGTAGACCAAGAAGTGGTTTAGGTAGAAGAGGTAAACCTAAATAGGGTTTATTATACTATGTATTCTACAAAAGTAAACTACTTTTATTTCTACTTCTATTAATCTACTAGTATTAGTAATAACTAGTTTCCTACTAACTATTTAAGTATTTTACCCCTCCTTTCTTTAATCTTCTTCACCACCTCTATCACCACCTCTACCACCACCTCTATCACCACCTCTACCACCTCCACCACCTCTACTACCTCCACCACCTCTACCACTACCTCTACTACCACCTCTACCACTACCTCTATTATCACCACCTCTATCACCACCTCTATTATCACCACCTCCTATTAGTAAAAATATTATGACTTATTATTATGTCATATATGCGTATAGCGTAAAGCTAATCTTTTCTACCCCTTTTAGTCTTAGTTAGGTATTATAGCGTATAATAGATATAAAACTACTTTTTATACTTAATTTAAACTACCTATAATAAAAGTAAACTACCACTTTAAACCTATTTACGGGTATACACAAGGTCAGTTTACACCTATATAGTAAACCCCTAGCGTACTATTCTACAGTAAACAATTTTTTACCGTAGTGTATACAAATATATAAATTACAAATACATAATGCGTATGACGTCGCGCTCGGGAAGAGCAATGCCGAGCCCAGGTGGAGTTTCTGGTGCAGGAGAGGTGATCTGGAGGGTGGGGAGAGGGGGCGGGAAATGGTGGGTATGATTGAATTATGGGGGGTTGGAGGGGCTCGTTTTTGTACGACTTCATGTTGGATGTGGTTTGCACGCTGGCTTCTGCCTTGTAGTGGGTGTCTTGCTAATGTATGGTGCGATGAAGTGCGGTGTTAGAACGGCTGCATGGTGAGGAGCTGGGCATGGCTTTTGAAAGCGTTGCATGTGAGAAATATGTTGACAGAAGGTGGTTAGGCTAGAGATGGTAATGCAGTGTTTGTAGTGGATAATTCATCTTGAATTGCACCATGTCCTACAGCTTCGAGGTGTATATCTGAGAGGTTTCTATGTACAATACTTCAGAGCTAGAACTTGGCGATTCACAGCTATGTGTTCAGTACAGCTGTTCTGTAGCATTGGAATGTCCTTATCCCAATCTTCGATGGCTAGATTGACTGGACGATCCCTGCATACTAACAGGAACAATCTGAATGACGAAAACCTGCATATACAGCAGATGAATTGAAACTTAAAACTGTGCCAAAGCGCTATTAGGACTCCGGTGTTGTGTTGTGGCCAGTAGATATTCAGACTCTAGAGATCTGGATTTCACCACTTTGGAAAACGTGCTGTCAGGCGTGTATCTTCTCCCACCGTACCAAACAACCAAAATGGTAACAATGACCTATTCTTGATAGAATATCGAATAAGTAGAAAAGACCACATGCATATACGTGCTTGACGATCTTGTCACCCTGCAGGACCTCCTTCGTGCACAACAGAAGACCACTTCCTATTGTATGTTCACCACATGAAAGAACGTGCCCATGTCTCCCTAGAAATACTATAGATTAAAGAAATAGGATATTTACGATGCTTAAGGGACCTAGCATTCACAGCCAGCTTTGGTTATTTTGGTAAAATCCTTAGGCATGTCAATGTATTGATAAGGCCATTTCTCACTGTTGTGACCCTCCTGAAGCTCCATTGAGACAAGTATATGAGCTATCTTGCTTGCTCATAATCCATCTTCATGGATTTCCATGGATTAGACATATCTTCTTGAGGTTGATTTGGCGCAGTGGGGGTAGAATTCATGCCTCCAATAGCCAACAGCATTATGAGGACTCGAGGAGTAAAGATGATGTAATCAATCAACTCTCCATCGCGTCCTAATCGTTTAAAGAACCGGTCGTGATAAGGAGGAATAAAGTCATGTACACGAGACTCCATTTTTGGAGCTGCCATCTGCACGCACATTTGACATTGATCACTGGTTAGTTGACCACACAAGGGCTATGCAACAGGCCTTAATTACTCTTTCAGGCATACTTTTATTCAAATTCACTCATTTTAACTCTTAAATCATGGCCACATCTGTTAAAATGAGCATTCAAAGAGTCCAGAAAACGTCGGCACGCAATTATCTTCGGGGATAAATTACTCAGTTCACTTTGAATCAGTGAGGTGAGGAAGTTCTTGTCATCAAGATACAAAATTCTCAAGGGACACAAATTCTACACGGTAAAATAACGTAGCAACTGACAATGTTGCAGATCAGAGCTACTCTCATCAGAGCATCAACGCAAAAATAGACATTATCACACGATTAAGGGAGTGTGAGGCTCAAAGTGGTGGTGTGAGTGATGTTTCCTCTCGTAAAGAGTCGTGCAAGATACAACGGCGACTGAAGATCTTGAGACGTTTAACATGATCTATTGGTCCTTGGAGTAGATATAGATTTGAATCACTTGCACGCGATCATGGCATTTTTGAACCATTCGATAGTGGTTTAGCATTAACAATGAAAGGTAGTAGAGACGTTTCTGTCTTTCATATGATAGGAAAGGCTCATTGTGAAAGCAACAGAAATAGTTACAAACGTAGATAATACCATTTGCTTTCTGTTTCGATCTTTGGTCCTTCAACTACTCTGCAGGGTAGCACTGCTGATGTTATCTCGATCAACTGGGCATGTGTTGTCTTGGCTTTCGTACTGATTGATCAATCATGGTTTCTTTGATCAGGCTGTTGTCTGGCTGTTGTCCGGCTGCAGGACTAAGATTCGCTAGCACCAGAGTAGGCAGCGAAGGCCCGGCCCCTGATGCGGGAACGACCTCGGCACTCCCAGCGCCAACAAGGTCTCGAAGCCTAACAACACACGTGATCAAACAGCAACGTCCATTTGCTCCGATCCACGTCTCTGAACTTTGAGTATTTATCAATCAACAATAGCCATCACGCCGAGTTCTTTCACGCCAAAAGATGACCCGCAAAGAGGGTATGTGGCAGCTGAGCTGGTGGTGTGCAGGTATAGGGTACAGCCAAGATTGCCAAGCTCACAAACAAGATATTGGTTGAGTTCCACAGCTGAAGCTTGAACTATCTGCGCTCCTGGCTGGTTGTACATCTGTTCTTTTGGACGAAACCTCATCTTTATTGTATCAATGACTACGATATATATCCATGTCTCAAACCAACTTTAGGAATCCAGGTCCCCGAGACTAGGTACATATCATCCGCCGCAACCAATCTCCCCCACCCCGCCACGCCATGAGGTGATCGCCAACCCATCCAATCTGCCAACACATCGTTCTCATCACCGCTGCACCATGTATCAGCTGTAACCATAGGCCCGAAGATTCCAGTTTGCCAAGGCGGCCTCCCCTCTTTGAGCGAGCCCAATGGATGGTGCGCCCGCTCGATTGGCCTGGCCCGATCGTGACTTATCTCCATGCAGCAACGCCCGCACATCCAGGCGCTGGGACAAGAAACGCCACCACGGCATGTCAATTTTGTCAAACGTAGTTTTTTTGTATGCAGGGTCGCGAGCGGTAGCGAAATTTGTTTGGCGCTAATGGGGGTTGGGCGATTAGGGGGTGCATGCGAGCACGCGAGCAGGCTCTTGAAGTATGGGGTCTGCCCCGGGTAGTTGGGCACAGGAGGCATCTGAGTTACCTAGAGTAGTTCGTTGCTGCGAATTTTTCAAGCTTCGAATTGCGGATTTACGATATGGTGGAGAAGATGCCGACTACGTCGAGTGTGTCGAATGGCACGAAGAAAGCGAGTCCGCCGCTGAAGAAGCAGGCCACTGATAAGGATCTTGATGATTATTTTGTACGTTTCACTACTCTTGACGGGAAGACGTCGAAGCAGTGCTAACATGTCTAGATTGGACCGCGTGATCTTGATCATCATTCAAAATGGCCCATGTTTGTTCGGCTTCATGGCAGCGTCACGCCGGAAATGATATTGCCTTTGCTCTTTGTTGGCGGATGGGCAACAGCAATCACTTGTATTTCGAAATTCGTCCATGACTGTAGGCGATACTGTTGACCTCCTGATGAGGGCATTGTACTAAATTCTCCACAGTGGGTATCAACCAGCTGCTTCTCACGGTCCTTGGTTTCGTCGTCGGTCTCGCACTGAGCTTCCGCAGTTCCACAGCCTACGAGCGCTACAACGAGGGACGAAAATACTGGGCCCAGCTCACATTCATCTCCCAGAACCTCGCGCGCCTGATCTGGATCCATGCGGATGAACGGCATGCAAAGGACGTGGCGACGGGGAAGAACGATCTGCTTGCCAAAATCAGCTGTCTGAATCTAATCGCAGCCTTCGCCGTGGCACTCAAGCACAAGCTGCGCTTCGAACCAGGCATGCACTACGAAGACCTCGAACACATTGTCGGCCACCTAGACACGTATGCAAAAGCAGCCGAACAGCCCGTCCGCAAGCGACAGAACATGTTCAAAAAAACGGGCAACTACCTGGGCGTGCCCATGGCCGAGGACAATCCTCGCAAACTGCTCAAGCGCGCCCGCGTCCCGATTGGCAATCTCCCGCTCGAAATCCTCTCCCATCTGTCGGCATACATGAAGACCATCTACGACAACGGCACCTTCAAAGTCAGCATCTACCAGACGCAATCCCTCAACGCCCTGACCACCATGAACGACGTCCTCACCGGCACAGACCGAATCCTCAACACCCCGCTCCCAATTGCCTACTCCATCGCCATCAGCCAAATCACATGGGTCTACATCCTCCTCCTGCCCTTTCAACTCTTCAAAAGCCTCGGCTGGGTCACCATTCCCGCCTCCATCTTCGCCGCCTACATCATCCTCGGCATCGCCCTCATCGGCCGCGAAATCGAAAACCCGTTTGGCGACGACGTCAACGATCTCCCTCTCGACGCCTTTTGCGAGCAAATCCGCAAGGACCTCGACATCATCATGTCGCGTGCGCCTCCCCTCAGCGACGACTTTGTCCCCCACCAGGCTAATCTGCCGCTTTATCCGCTGTCGCATCTCGGCAGCCCGGCCTGGGCCCAGCGGTCTGTGGATGAGATTCGCGAGGCGTTGGCGGCGAAGCCCGGATTGCATTATCCCATGTCGGAGCATAATGAGCATCCCAAGGCGCAGCATGCGGATCAGCATCATCATCGGAGGGCGGAAGCTGCAGATGATGATGCGGAGAAGGGCGAGGCGGGTCACGGGGGGAATGCTGCTGCTGGGGATGGCGGAGACTGAGTCTGCGCTTGTCAAGATGGGGTTGTTTCTTGGTTGAAGAAGTCATCCTGGATCCTGCATAGATGGGTTTAGGCCCGCAAAGTAAGCAATACTGTTGAATATCAAGTTCTGCAATAGTTATGAGATGTATTACTAATATCTAATTTCTCTGTTCAACGTAAGAGTCTGAACCTTTGAGCGTTGACTCGGCAATTCTGCTCCTCCTCCATCCACATTCTGCACGCACATGCCCATTCATATTCTTACTTTTCCAGCCCAAACCAAATTTGCCATCATGTACTCCATTTCCCATCTTCTCCCTAAAGCTCACGAAAACTTCACAACCTTCAGTTGCAGCTGAACGCCTCACCCCCTTTTCTCATCCACGCAGCAAGACTCTAAACCCACATTCCCCGTCCTCATACCCCCTGACAACCCCCGTAGCATTCCCCTCCAACGCCTCCAACCTCTTCTGCAGCCCCGCCACCCTCTCCTCCAGCCCATCAACCCTCTTCGCAAAAAACTCAGCCAGCATATAAAAACGCGTCACGACCATAGCACCCGCCATCATCGCAACCGCCCTCTGTCGCCGCGATTCCCTCGACCCCGGCGGACTGCGACTCATGGCCATGCCGAGACAAAAACACGCCATCAAGATGACAGCCGGGCCCCAGGGATTCCGGTTCGCGACAAGAGTCATCCAGACGGCAGTGAGGCCGAGCAAGGCCATGCAGAAGAGCATTTCAATCACATCATCTACAATCGACAGCACCGACTCTGCAACAAACTGCCCGTGTTCCGCAGGCAGACTTGCAGGGAGATGATGCGCCCACACTCTGCGCGCATGCTGGTTGCGGTGCAAATAGCGCACGAGAAGACGCATGGGGCGTAGGATGTTGTAAGGTGGGTAGTCGCGCCAATCTCCATAGCATCGAAGCAACCATCCACGCAGCCATCCACGCAGCCATCAAATCAATCGCCTGGACGCTTTATTTTTCAAATCGAAACCCCGTCTCAGACCGCCAAAACCACCGAGCCGTCGAGCGAACTATGGAAAGCGGCGACAAAAGAGTTCATACGTGCAGTACCAAAGAACGAAAAAGACTGGTCGGATAGAAGAAAACAAGTTGGTCTGCACCAACCAGAAGCCGTCATCCACACGTTCTGCCTTCTTACTCGTCACTCTCAACAACTATCCTCTTTAAACATTGGTGATGCGCCAGGCACGGAAGCAAGCATTCTCAATATTCTAAGTGACTACCAGGTATTTACAAGCGTACTAGGAGCAGAGAAGGCCTATGCGACACAGGTATCGAATTACAGTACGCTGCTGTTCGTCGGCCTTTCCATAGTCGCCTTCTCGGTTGGGACCGATCCAGAGAAAGTGGAAAATCATATGAGGAAATTCCTCACGCATCAGCAAAGCAAAGTGTGCACGGCAAAAGGGAGTTATTTATCAAAGCTTCGAACCGCGGCTCTGGGGCCTATCAAGCGTATGGATGAGTTGTGCGAAAAAGGCCTGAAGGACCGAAGTTGGGAGATATTCGTCCTCTGTATGGCCTCCAGCAACGTTCTCGCGATCCACTGCTAACAATAATAGGTGGTCCATCAATACACTCGTATAGAAAATTCGCAGAATGCAAAGCGCTCAGCTCCCTACAGCCGTAATCCTACCAAAAGAATACTAGTAAAAGCACGTGACCAAGACAAAGAACTACCACACTCACCCAGTGAACAAGATAATAATCCCCCTAAACTCACCACCCTACCCAGCACCCTTCCCTCTCCCCACACTCCTCATACTTTTTTCCACCGCAACAATCAGGGGCCCACTAATGACACTACCTTACTCCTCCGCCATCACGCGGGGTACCTTTCCGTCTGATAAGTTTAAGACCGGTGACTGCTTATAACATCCATGAAGGATCGATATGCCGTTGCGAAATATGAAGCCACAGGATCCCCGTCCGCGGATTTTGACAATTGCATGCTTTTTCCACGTCCAAAGCGGAAGATGGCGAATCGGGAACACGGTGTACACGTGACATCTGCTTGATTGACCGTGCTACAAGCACTGCTGTACAGCTATAGATCATATTACCCTAAATTAGCTATTATAATCCATTGTGAACATTCTGTTGGCCTCCATTTCTGCTACCAGTTCTTTGTACAAGAATGTTCAGTAGTCATCAAGGCTATCGTGGAAAAGCAACTTGGGGTGGTGCTACAATCGGATCGATGAATCATTTTTGCCCATGGCTCCGGCTCCGGCTCCGGCTCCGAAGAATTTCCGGCTTGGCATTGCCTGCGTCGCGCGGTCAGCTCATCACGTTCCAGCCATCCTTCACTCTCACAAACGCCCATCCCCCGATTTGTATCTTCTCTCAGCCAGCCCTCAACATCCCCTCTCCATGGGCATGCCTTACACTTCATTTCACTGCAGTTCACATCGCCATTTCTATTGATTATCTTGAGCGTTCGCTGCGCTCTCACGCCATGGCCGATAGGTCGCGATCTGAGGTAATCATGGCAAACCCCATTGGCAAAGGACTCGATACCTTTCGCGTCTCTTTCGAATACAAATGCAAAGACCTAGCTATCACAGGCGCTGATGCGCTGCATCATCTTAGTGGCGAAGGTATGGTTCAGCATCAAACTCGCGAGATTTCCTAACATCAACAGGACAAAAAAATTCCCTCCTTGACCTTATATCGGCTTTGCTGGTTTGCCCTGCATCTCGTCTGCTGCCTGCAAAGGGCAATAACGTAAACCTATTCGGTGATCTGTTGGAGCTGAACACGGCAGTCAACGCTGGCAACTTCGACATTAAGCATATCCTACCGCTCCTCAGAGCAGTCCTCAACAACGAGCCCGATGAAGCCATATGGGACAATGTCTACGCCGCCGTCGCCGCGTCCACAGCTTTCACAGTCGCCATACCCACGACTCCTCCGCTGTCCGCCCCGTCCCTCGCCGCCTCCTTCCCGCAGACGCCATGGTTGCGCAATACGAGCAGCTTCGCAAACTCGACGGAACACCGCAAATACGTAGACGACGTGCTGAAGGAGGAGTTGGGCACTATGTATGCTGGGGTTCCTGGTTTGTTTGAGGCCTTTTTTGGCGAAATCGCAAGCCTTGAACTGGCAGCACAGGCTGTACTCGAAAGATGCAAAGCCGGGGATAATCCGCTCTATCTGGAGGGGAGCGGGTGGCAAGGTTGGCCTGAAAGCGCAAAGGAAAGAGATGTTCTGCGCTGGTTCGCGGAGCTTACGGACCAGTTTTTGGGCTTTGCGGAAGAACACAGGCCGGCCCCCAGGCCTCAACGACGACCGCTGGCACAGCCGCATCAGCCCTTACAAGGCTCTACAGCCGACCGTAAGCTAGATATTGGCTTTGTGGATGACTTGAACGCTGGCGTGGACTCGAAATGTCACTGGAAACAGATCCTTATACCAGGAGAGCTCAAGAGCAACCCATCAGCCGACATAGCCTCTAAAGCATGGCTCGACTTAGGACGATATGCAAGGGAGGTATTTGCTGCTCAAGATGACCGCCGCTTCGTCCTCGGCTTTACATTGTGTGGATCGCGCATGCGGCTGTGGCTATTTGATCGTCTGGGGGCCATTGCATCCGAACCATTTGATGTCAACGACAATGGGCTGCAGTTTGTATCAGTTGTGCTTGGGTTTCTGTGGCTAAACGAAGAGCAGCTTGGATTCGATCCTACTATTATTACTAAAGAGGGCAAGCGATACATCGAGATTGAACGGAAAGGCTGCATTGAACGTCTCGTTATCGATAAGGTAATAAATCGGTCACCTTGTATCGCCGGTCGGGCGACAACCTGCTGGAAAGCTCATCGCGAAGGAGACAATTCGCGAACACCTCTAGTCATCAAAGACTCGTGGCAGTATCCAGAACGTGAGGAGGAGGGAGAGCTGCTGCGCAATGCAGCTGAGAAAGGTGTGATTAATGTCGCGAGATACTATCATCATGAGACGGTCTGTGTGGGTGGTCAGAACGACGACATCCTCATGAACGTGCGACGAGGTCTGGATATAACGAAAGCGAAGAACTACAGGCCAGAAAGCTCGATGCCGCCTCCAAGCATGGCTGGACGTCGCATTCCACGAACAGGGCGAAGCAGCAGCGCTGGGAGGAAGCGGTCCTCAAGCTGCACAGACGCACTGTTACCACCCAGCAAGCGAACTTGTTCGAGCTCTCCAGTCAAAGGTGGAAGGGGAACAGCAAATCGAGTGCGTCGTCGCACCATCGTTTCTGATTACGGGCTGCCTATCTATTCGGCGAGCTCGCCATCAAAGCTGCTCGCCGCGCTGGAAGCCTGCATTGAGGGATATGAGTCATTGCACACAAGAGACGGCAGGTTGCAAGGCGACATCTCACCGAACAACCTTAGGATCAACGAAGACGAGAGGAACCCTTCGTGGCCTGCATTTATAATTGATCTTGATCTCGCGATCAAGGAACAGCGCGAGAAGGCTTCTGGAGTGCGTAGTAAGACCGGCACACGAGCGTTCATGGCAATTGGCGTACTACTAGATGACGAAAACCACTCGTTTATGCACGACCTCGAATCGTTTTTCTGGGTGCTCTTCTGGATATGCATTCATTATGATGGGCCAGGCAAAGACATTGGCCCCACTGAGTTCGAGTGCTGGAACTACGAGGGCAATAGAAAGTTAGCGGAGCTTAAAAAAGGCCTAATATCCGACGAGAAGGATTTTTTACAGACTATAGAGACTAAGTTCACATCCCACTACAAATCACTAGTTCCTTGCGCCAATAGATTACGAAGGAAGGTATTCCCTAATGGAGGGAGATGGAGAGATCCAAACCAGAGGCTGTACATCGAGATGAAGGAGATACTCCACGCCGCGCAAAACGAGCTGAAAGGATAGTCACATAGTCACTTATGTGTTCACTATGTAAAAATTTCATGCACAGTAATCGAACTTGTACGTGTAGCGTGATTAGATATTAGAACCCTGATATAGTCTTATACAGCCTTAACATACGTCGAAGCTCTGGCTCGCCTAACGAGGTGGGGTAGGATAATTACAGCAAGGGCTCTGGCTTTCATCTGCTTTCCGTAACATACTAGTAATAACTCCATGGCTGGTATTTACCTCACCGACAGTTTGAAACTTGAATTTCGAGTATAATCTGACACCCGCTGGGATGGACTTTCATTGGGCGAGAGGTTGTCAGCATCTTCCCATCCTTCTTGTACGCTGTGGTTAGTCTGGCAGTGCACCACATTGTCGTGGTTAGTCCAGCAGAGCACCACAAAGCCGTGGCTGGCCATCGATCCAGGCCCTCAATGTGGCCAAAGCAGGGTGGATGCATGCATGCGTACGCCAGGTCTGCACACGGCATGGCATCTTATACGTTGTCATGTTGGAGAAGACATTTTATGGAACCTTCAATTGGAATTGGAAGCGTTTGGTTGAATTTCAAACGACTGGATTGAAAAGTTCTACAACGATAGCGCTCGGCTAATGCGCCCATCCTCCGATTGATTCCGATGCATGTCCAGTGTTCATCATTTCCTTCAGAAACAATTAATGGTGGCTCCTTTGATGGCGTATCGATTCAAAATTCAACTTTGTTAAGGATTCGCCATTGAGCGGAATGGATAGGAAAGCAAGATACATGAGGGAGACATGCAATGAATTAGGACGCGCTGCCGAAAGCGAGCTGCATTCTCTTGCGCAAGGCAGAGGTCTCGTATTAGAAGATGATGATGGGCAGTCAAGAGGTAAGAAGAGAGCTTGGGAAGAGGCACGTCTGAATCTAGAGGCCGAAAATATAGGAGCAACAAGAATCAATGGACCAATTGTGAACGGTTCCCAGCAAATCAGTAATACTGGTCAATTCATTCCCAGTCTTCATTAACTGACGTGAATTCAGATACCATTTCGTCAATGCCCACGCAATCAGCTAACACATACATGACACCCGAAATGACAGGATTCGAGGCGGTGTCGACTATAGACGGCTTCAGTGGCGGCTCAATGATCTTTCCGGGTGCTGTCGTGGGGATGAATGATATCTTTGATGCCCCTCTTCTACATCAGCTCAGCCATCCACTATACGATGCAGCAGTAGCTCAACCCAGCCTATTCCGAGCTTCTGGGCAAACCTGAGAATGAGAAGTTCACCCCTATTGTAGGACTCTCCATGTCAGTAGCCTTCTGCCTGAAATCCTGCGAATCTGGGACCTTTATCTTAGGCCAAGGGGCGACTACTTCAGGAGTAGCGAATATGAAAGTGAATGCGTAGCCGGCTTTAGTCTCAGCGTACAGTCGAGTGCGTTCCAAAATTTTCGAGGCCATAAGCTGCAAGCGGGCTAAGTGATCGACTGCGCCACATGTCCAGGACGCCATGTGTGCACGTGATTACTGCAAACGTGGCTCGGAGAACTAACGTGATCCACCACCGAGCGCCCACCCCCACCGAGCGCCCACTAACACTAAAATCCACCACCCACTAAATAAGGATATTGCGCCACCTACAATAGCTATTATTACAAGATTTCTTAGAGTTATAATTATTAGATCTATTAGAGTAGATTAAATATTTTAAATTATATAAGTAGCTTTTTAGGGGGTCTAATTAGGCGCCTACGCTATAAAGTTGCCTCTACTACTATATCCTCTTCTACTAGCTCCTTATTAACTACCTTAGCTAGTATAATAGTAGGAGGCTTAAGGATTTACCTCTTACCTATTTAGGATATTTTAATATTATTTTAGAGTTACTTTTCTAGTTACTTAGTAGTTTTCTACTTATTATATATAGTAGCTTTTTAGGTAGCTTTCTCCTCTTACTTCTTCTTAGTAATTACTTAATTTAGGTAACACTCCTTTATAAGTTAAGCTTTAGCAAGCTTCTATTACTTATAAAGCTTAATTACCTTACTTTTTTAGTATTATAGCTCTTATTCTTTAAGGTTCTTTTACTCCTAGAGCTTAAATACTTGCTTTACTTTTAATAGTAAAATAAATTAGGCACTATTACTATAATTATTATTAGGGGGTAATAATAAAGGTTTACTACGCTTCCTACGCTTCTTCTTATTAGCTAGGGTAGCCCTTAGGTGTTTATTTTTATAGTTAAGTAGAGTATTTCTTACTAATATAGTATAGATTATCTAGCTAAGCTTCTTTAACTATTTATTATAGATATTAATTATAGTATTATAAAGTAACTACTCTATCTTTCTTTAATTACTTATACTTAATATTAAGGTTATACTATTACTTAAAGAAGGCTAGTTACTATTATTTATAGGTGCTTTAAACCTTAAAAGGATAATATTAGGGTTAAGTAGTAAGATACCTATTACTTTAAAAGCTATTAATATTAGCTTTTCCTTAAAGGTATTGCTCTATATAGTATTAAATAACTAGTAGAAATCCCTCTTAGTAATGCTTATAAGCCCTTAGAAGCTATCTAGAAAACTAGATAGTTAAGCTTTATATAAAGCTGTAACAATAAGGCAGAATTGCCTGCCTATTATTCTATGCCAAGTTAGGCCTAATAAAGGCCTGACTCACTTATATATATAGAGAACAGCTCGCCTATAGTTAGGATAGGCATGTTCTTCTTATCCTTTTGTACAAGACCTATAGGTGTAGGAATCTTATCCTCTTCTATATAGACGCGCACTCCTATATACCTTTAAGTTATATAGGATACCTTTTAGATGCCCTACCTACCTAAGTTATTATATTATAAGAAGAATATTATCCTAGCTAGTAATAGTATTTAAGAATATCGCACTTATTATTATTTTAAGCTACTAATTTAGTTCTAGTAGCTACCTAACCCTATAACTCTATAGTTAGAATAGCTATTAGAACTTCTAATAACTAAAGCCTATAGGCTTAGACTTCTAGACCTATAGGTAGTACTAGATTACCTTTAGAAAAATCGCGTTAGATTACATTAAGGTAGAGACCTAGAGACTACTAAAAGCCTAGAGGAATTAGAGGCAAAGCTAATATCCTCCTATAACTAACCCCCCTAAAAAGAAAAGATTTATTATTCTTATTAACTACAAAATATTAGACAAAGGTAAAGGAAGGGTATCTAGTTTAGCTACTTTTAAAAGCCTATTTACTAATAGAAAGAAATTAGATAAGGAAGACTTAATTAATAACGCCCTCCTAGAAGGACCTACTTCCTATCTATCTCTTAAGGTACCTTGTGCTCCTAGGAAATCTTAAAGTAACACCTCCCTTAAAGATAAATATATATTAACCCTATCTAAAAAGGAGAGGTTAGAGGAACAAGTTAAGCAACTTACTAATTAGTTATATAACACCTCCCTCTATAAGGAGATATAGGGTACTACCTAACCTAGCTAGTCTTTAGCTTCTATATTAAACCCTATAGTATATACTATAAAAGCTAAGAGATAATCTAAAAAGACGCTAAATATCTCTATACTTAGTAATAGTGCTAATCCTACTTTTAGATAATAGCAAGCATCTATCTAGGATAGGCTAGAAATTAACGCTAATTACTACCCCTCTTCTAGAGCTTAGATAGTGTTAGTCTAGGGACACTGCTTAGGACTAGCAAGAGAATACTTAGAGCTACGTTACCTATCTAATTCCCTAAGTCTTTAATTCTAAAAAGCTAAGGAAATAATTACCCTCCTTTAAACTTACTTTATTACTAGAAATAAGATAGCTAAGAGTTAGACTATATTTAACTACCTATATATAACTAATATAGAGACGTTCCCTGCTTTTAAGTTATAATTCTAGAGTCTTGCTATTAGAGGAGAAGTACTCTAATTAGAGTAGTATTACTACCTCTAGATAAAGATTACACCTTCCCTAAGGATACTAAACCTTACTTTCTAATAGAATTAGTATAATAATTTTAAGACTATAGTAGATTATCTTACTACTTTTAATATAGAACGCTACCTATACCCTACCTTATCTACTCCTACCTAGACTACTCTATTATCTAGAAAAGGACTAACCCCCTTCTAACACTCTAGAAATTAGTCCTATTTAGACGCTAATTAGAAACCCTATAATAGACCTTTAATAGCTAAACCTTATATGCCCTACTTATAATAATAAGGCACTATCCCTTAAAATAATTAACCCCTATCTACTACGCTAGCCACTCCTAGCGCTACTATAATAGGAACCCTAGTAACTTGCTATAATTATAGAAAGCCTAGGCACTTCTCTAGTAACTACCCTAAACCCCCTAGGATTTAGGCTATAGATATAGAATAGGTTATTAAGAATTCTAAGGAAGAAGATACCGCTAAATTAACTAATTTAGATAGCTATTAGACAGGAAACAACAACACCTAGGAGGATCCTCCTTCCTAGGCCTAACTTAATATAACCTGTTAAACCTTTCCTTAACTAAATTATTTATTAGTTCTTATTTACTTACATGTACAACCCTATACCTTAATAAATCTAGTATTTGCCTAAACGCTTTAGTAGATACTAGGGCCTAAGGTTACTTATTTCTTAATTTAAAAATTGCTTATAATATCTCTTCTATACTTAGGGTACCTATCTAAAAGTTACTATATAAGCTTACTATTAAAGGGTTCTAGGACTAGATTACCTCCCTAGTTGCCTACTATATTTAGCTTTATATAATAGTTAGTAGCTAAAAGGTTTATAACTACCCCTTTATAATAGTAGACTTAGGTTCTTAGGATTGTATTATTAGATAACACTAGCTAAAATAGTTCTAAATCCTAATTAATATAGATAAATCTTAACTAATCTAGCTAGAGAAGTATCCTCTAACCTACGACCCCGCACCTCCTATTCTAGTACAACTCTACTAGCAAGTGCTATCTACTCTAGTTACCTATAATATCTTATAAAGAGACGCCCTTTAGGATTAAGAGGAGAACTAGAACTAAAATAGTCCTAGTTTAATTAATAGGATACGTGGTATACTTAAAATTCTAGCTACTTATAGGGCTGCTACTAAACCTATTACACTACCTACCCTAGTCTAATTGCTAACTATTACCCTACCTGTAAAATTTTAAATTGCTACTATTTCTACTAATACTTTCTATTTTAATATAAAAAAATCTTCTAATAAATTCTTTACTACTAGCCTATATAAGATTAAGCGTAGGATCTAAACCCTATCTAAATAGGATACTCTTAACTACTACTTATTAGATAAGAAGCTCCTATCTAACTATAACTCCTATTAGGATGTCTTTAATAAGGCTAAGGCTAATAAACTTCTAATCTACTAGCCTTATAACTATAAGATAGTCCTAGAGGAACCCCTTTTAAACTACTAGAGTCCCCTCTATTATTAAAATACTAAGGAACTCTAGGCTACTAAGGAATATATACAAGAGCACCTATAGAAAGGTTTTATTAAGACTAGTTAGAGCCTATTTACCTCTCCTATCCTATGCGTTAAGAAGCTAAATAGAGGCCTTAGGATCTATATAGATTACTATAAGCTTAACAGCTTAATATAAAAGGACGCGTATCTAATACCCTATATAGATAATCTATTATCCTAGCTAGCTAACGTAAAAATCTTTACTAAGCTAGATATTTATACTACCTTTAATAAGATCTAAATAGACCCTAACTTAGAGGAGTATACTACTTTCTGCACTAGGTATAGTGCCTATAAATGCAAAGTCCTACTATTTAGGCTATATAACAGACCTGCAACCTATTAGCGCTATATAAATAATATACTAATAGATTATTTAGATAACTTCTATATTACCTATCTAGATAATATCCTTATCTACTCTAAAAACCTTACTACTTATAAGGACTATATTTAAAAAGTCCTTAAGCATCTTTATTCTACTAGATTATAGGCTAATATTAAGAAAAGCGAATTCTATATAACTTATACCTATTACCTTAGATATATCCTTACTAATAAAGGCTTAGAGGTAGACCCTAACAAAGTTAAAGTACTCTAAAACTAGTCTGCTCCTAAGACAATAACTAGAGTAAAGTCCTTCCTAGGATTTACTAGATTCTACTAGTAATTTGTAGAAAATTTCTCTAAGATAGCTAAGCCCTTAACTACTCTTTAGAGTCCTGCTACCCTATTTGTATAGACTTTAGAATGCTAACAAGCCTTTAACTAGCTTAGG